TTTATAGAATATAATTTAATTTTATTTATGCTATATTTTTAATGTTTTGAAAGTTTAGGGACTAAAGTGTATATAAAGTAAACTTTAATAATATTTAGATTAAAATATAAATATTGACGGGACGATGATAAGTATACGGATATTGGGCTCGTTGGATAGATAATAATTAAAGACGCATTTTAGACTCGAGAAAAAATTTATTTGGGTTAGTCGAGCCCAAGTTATCGAAGCCGGAAGATATAACATTAAAATATTATTTTTATTACTTTTGTTTGGAAGAATTTACGTGGAGAGAGAGATGAAAGTTGTTGAGATATTTTATTATTTTATTATTAATAATAATATTTTATTAAGTGTGTTTTGCATTGGGAGGTCTTACGTGAAGTACTAGGATTCTAAGTAGGTGGTTGGTGTGTGATAATTGATTTGTTTATTAAATGAAATAAAGTGTAGAGAGAGAGAGAGAGAGAGAATTATGGGAAGCCACGTTTCTAATGGTTAAAACAAATTCCCTTGTATATATATGGTGCATTGCCACGTGTAAGATATAAATTATTTTTTTTCAAATTGTGGGTAGTTAGCAAGATTTGGGTCAAGATTCTGTTTCAACTATTTTGATCCATATCTCCTTCCCCACTCCCACACGTTTCATCATTTTTTTTTTATATAGATATTTTTATTATATCATATGAAAACAATAGCTTTCATTCACTTCACTGTAATATTATTGCACGATAAGGCAGAAAGAAAAGAAAAGATAGTTGCAACGTGATTTTGGGTTTTCTTATTCCAAGAAATTTTTGGAGCGCGAACCTTGTTTTGACTTCCAAAATTTAAGCAGTTTAACAAGGTAGGATATGAGGTGCAGTATATTTTTTTATTTCCCGTTTAATTATTTTGGCTACATGTGGACGAATTTCATATTTATGAAAGTTATGATATTAATGATATGATATGAATGATATGGCCATTCCGGTACAATGAAATGAAATGATATGATATGATATGAGCTCTTACCGGATTTAAAGTTATGCGACGGTATGATATTCTGACACTTGTGTTAAAATTATTTTTCGGGATCGCACCATTAATGTAATATCCTACTGAGTATTTCCATGTACTCATCCTTTTCCTACACCTCACAGGTTAGTTCGGGTCCTGTTGGAGCGTGGTGGTTCGATGCGTGGTTGTGCCTCATTTGCTGGACGAGACTTTATAATTTTAACAAGTAATTTTAGTTCATTGCCATGACATCCTATTTTAAAGATTAAGTTATCAATTATGTTTATTTGCTACATGGATGTTTTTTTTTTTTGTTTAATTCATTTTAAATAGAGCTCGAACTATATGTTACTGCTTTTATCGATTTTATTGGTTAAAAGAAAATTGATTAACAGTCAAGTTCACACCAAAGACTTTTGCATTTTTCTAAGGCATCTACAGCCTTTTCAAGATTTATAATATGCATGGCCAAAATAATGATTCTGTACTTCACACCAAATTTTCAATTGTCTGCCTACCACAGTTAACTTTATGTAGTGGAGTTGTATTATTCATTTGTACTTTGAATTGGATTTTATGATAAAGATATTCATAACCCATATTCACTAATCATGCTAGTATAAAAGATGTTAAATACGGTCAAATGTCATTTCATTTTAAGATGATAATTTCAAATTTATTAATCATGTGGTTTCCAATAAATTTGATCCTTTTATAATAAAGTTTGTAGCGACTAAAATAAAAAAAAAATATTAATAATAATATTAATAATAAAATAAAAATTTGGGTCGTTACAGCATGGATGATGCAACATGCTATGGAGGAAGTCGGCGATTTAATAATTTTAATTCGATCATGAAATATTTACGTTTGTTTCTTTTTATATGGATTTCTATGGATGTCATATGTTAAACTATTCTAAGAATATTTTTTCATGAATAAGTTATGTTTAAAAGTAGATATGTGTTATAGAAGTTTAATTTACAAAACACCGTTTACAAAAAGAAAGAAAAAATGTTAGCAAATTAAAGTATTGCTGTCTTTTAAAAATTTCAATTTTTGTCCTGACTTTAAAAATTCATAGCTCACTTGTTACTTGGAAATTTTTAACAAAACCAATGGCGTTGGATGACCACATAGGTTAGCTACTGAATGAACTTGGAATCGTGTCAATCCAATGTTGGTAGAATTTTATATGTCACTTAAGGTAAATTGCACTGGTTAATATTGTTGTTTTCTAGCTTCTGCCTTGACTTCAAAAATTTATAACTCAACCGTTACTTGGAATTTCTAGATGAAACCAATTGAATTTGATAGTCTCATGGATTAGCTACTGAATAAATTTGAAATCATATGGTTTTGATAGCTTTGGAATTTTATATATCATTTTAAATGAACTGTATCGGTTTATCTTTTAATCAGGTCGTTGTTGAATTTTGAAAAATATTTTAATACTTCATATGATGCTAAGGGAAGCTACTTTTTTCCTATGTCATATTATAAGGAATTTCCTATTTTACATTAAAATTTGATAAAGTTTCGAGGTCGATAGCTATGCAAACGAATTTATTTTGACACTTACCCTACGAGATAGAAATTGAAAACAGTTTGTTTAGTTAGTGTTAGCAGGATTTTGGGAAATATTTTAACGCCTCATATGTCACCGACGGAAGCCAAATTTTGGATATGTCTTATTATAAGATGTTCCCTACTTTCCCTTAAAATTTTATGAAATTTTGACATTGATAACTATGCAAATGAGTTTATTTTAAAACTTATCATGCGAAAATGGGAAATAAAAACAGATTACTCTCTTTCTTACTTCGTAAAGTAGTACGCACATGAAAAATTATTATACTTTTTATTTGTTTGGTAGATATGTACTTGCCATTATTCACGTAATAAAATAGGCATATGCATGGATTTGCTCGACTCTTTTCTTTTTAATAAATGTCTTTGAAATTATGGTAATATTATGTTACTATCTAAAAGTAGATTTTAATGGAAAATTTATTGGTAGTTATTTT